CGCGGGAGGGGCTGCGATGGTGCGGGCGGGGGCCGCTGCGCGTCTGACAGGTGCGTTGCCGTGGTCTCTGCTCTGTGCGTGCTGTCCACCATGTCGCCCCCGTCGACTCTCAGCCCGCCCTGGTGCTTCACCCTCCTATTGAATCGCCGAGTGCTCTGCCAACTTCCGTTTGCGAGCTAGTCGCCCAACCGGGCCGCTCTGTCATTGCGGGGGGGCTGGCGAACCTGACGCTATAATTCTTCCTCCCAATCGAACTGGCGCGATGTCCGTGCTTGGTTTCGCAACTCAATCAAATCCAAAGTGCCCCTGCGGATCCAGGGCCTCGAGGCTTGCCGGCCGTCCAGGCATTGTTCTGCTACTGGCTCCAGACATCGGGCAAGTTGTTGCGCGTGGTCTTCGACGTCTGGCGGCGGGGGTCTTGTTGTTGCCGCCTCGACGAATGAACCGGCGCAACTTTCTGCCACCGACGACCGTTGGAGAGACGCCGGGTCCAAGCTCTCCCGGCGGCCTCTCGGCTGCGTCTTCGGAACGCATGCGTCGAGAGCTGCCTGGGCGAGGACACGGCGCGGGGCGCGAGCAAGCGAGCGGTCCGATTTGACGCTGGTGGTCGCTAATGAAATGATCGATATCTGCGAACATCATGCGCGTTATTTCGCTCGCGGGGTCTGTGCCCAAAACGTAGCGCGCCACCTTTTCAGCCGGGGGTCGTTCCAGGAAGGTGTTCGCGAACGCCAAATTCAATGTGATGCGCTGCTCGGCCAACGAACGCCGGTTGCCCGCGGCGTCGGGCGCGCGCGCCGGGTCGCCGAAGTCGCGCGGGCCGACAAGCGGCGCTTCCTCGCAGAAGTTTGGCGGGAAGCGGGCGTTCATATCACCGAGCGCCATGACTGGCAGCGTGGTTTTCAATGGGCCACAGCTGCGTGCAAATCCATGAACCACGAATGCAGGACGTCGCACGCAAGAGCTGATTGTGGGGCACGCGTTGATACCAGAGCGAGTGACCCTCCAGGCACGCGAAACTCAAGGGTGGCAATGCTGTCGCTGAAAACGCAAGGCCCATGACTGAATGACGAAGCCACGGAACGACCGCAAAACCAACTCTTGCATATTCTCTCTTCTCGGCCACGCCGCCATCTAGCATTATCTGGCATCCGTCCTGCACCGAATGCGGCGCGCCAGCTACGTGCGTTTCTGGTAAACACCTAGCGTCGACTCTCCGATACTTCTCGCTAGCAGTGAATTGTTCAAGCTTTGCGGAGTCCGCATTGATGCTCGGGCCCTCGACGTCCCAAGAGAACGCATATCGCTCGGTCGACACGGCAGCGAATGCTTATATGAGCTGGTGCTCCTTGGTGAGGTACAAGTCCTGTTGGCACGCGTTGCACATGGCGGGCCCCGCAGGAGGCCTGAGAGCATCATGTCGTGCATGTGTTGGTGGTGAAACTCGTGGCTGGCGATTGCGCGGCTGAGCTAATAGACAGCTCGCCCTGGCAGTCGCGCTGCCGCGGTTGATCTGCGAACCGATGTGCCGCCGCGACCCCTAATATGCCACCTGGTCCACCGCCGGCGCTGGCAGCGCTAGGCTGTCCGCCCGGCTGCCGGCGCCCCTTGTCCGTCTTGCCCTTGCCCTTGCCCTTGTAGCTGGTGCTCTTCATGCCCTTCGAATTCATCGCGGCCAACTGGTTCGACCTGTCAAAAGGATCCACGACCTCGAGGCTCTTGCGAAGCTCCCCCCATCCAGCCCACTCCCCGTGCCACTCGTGGGTCACGCGATCAAGAAACACACGTGTAGTCAGTGCGAGCTCGCCGCCCACTGTCGCCGTGTAAGGAGCGGAATCGTTGACGGACGCTGTGGATGGAATGTTCCATGCCCTTTTGGATCTGTGTCTCATCCCAAAGCAAAATCTCCTTGCCGGCCTCTCGGTAACGGGGGGGTCTTGGGGGGTCAAGGCATCCACGGCGGCGTTCTTTCCCACGGAGCTCTGGAACTCCGCGAATAAAACTCCAACGAAATTCCACTTCGTGCAGGTCTTGGTCGGGATGGGGGAATTCAAGGAGGTCAGCATATTTTGCAACCGCTCCTCAGCCTTCGAGAGGGTGTCGAGGCCGGCGATGTTGCCGACGACCATGGTCACTGAGCGCTTCTCTGCGCTCGGATCGCCGGCGGAGTGCGTGCAGACTGAAAGTGTCAAGCTCCTGGGGGGCGTAGGTCGTCTTATCATTCAGCAACTCGTGCACATTCTCCAGCTTCTCCACCCGCGCTTCGATATCGAGAATGGCAGTCTCCACGCGGTCTGTGCGGCCAGCCAACGTCTCTCCGATGCTCGTGACCTTGGAATCGAGCTTGCCGAGTTCTGTGCGCAGGCTCTTGACCACCGACGTCACGGGGGACAGCTGCTCCTGCAGGGGGCTAGCGATGCCAGCCATGGTCACGCCCTTTTGCTGATCGAGATTCGACTTGCGGGCCAGCGACTCGATCATCTCGTCTTCGGAATCGTCCTCGGGTATCGGGACGTAGCTGTCCTGCTACTCGTGGTGTCCTGGGCGTTCCTGGTCAAGAAGAGGAGCAAGGGGGGAACGAATACCATATCGGGACTTCCCCATGGGTCCTTCACGAGACTCCGGACGGGAGTGCTGGCCATGCGGGTATTCCTAATCTTCGAAGGTGGTGTGGGAGACATCATGGCCTCAAGCTCCTGCTCAAGGTTCCGCTGTGATCCTGCCATCGGCGCCGACATGGCTCGCAGTCTCCAATCCCAAACGATCTAAATTGTAACATCTGTGCAGTGTTCCTTGGTTTCGGCCGTGGAGGCCCTTTGTCGGACCCCAGGATGACCAACATTGCATCTGGGACGCAGAACTACAATCATCGTGCTACCATGAAGAACGCTCAATAAGAAACGACTGATTTTTCTGGCCATGGCGAGCCACGGCCGCGAATACCTGGGGCATCCGCAGCCTCCAACGGGGCGCGAGATTGCCCAAACGGCCCCACAAACAGCGCCACGACAATCCAAAACAGCGACGGGACGGCCAATAATGGCCCCTCGGGCCGTCTGCGTCGAGACGGCCCACGAGGCTACCAAGATGGCCCAAGAGAGCTCCTCAAGGAGCGCCCAAAGGCTCCAAGAGGCAAACACCGTCCCATTCCTTTAGGAAAACGTGCATTTTGTGCATACCCACCTTTTCCGACTTGACAGCGTCCAGGACGGCCGAAGGGGCCCCCAAGATCGTCCCTAGGCGGCCCATGCGGCCTCCAAGCCCTAAAACGAACCAGGAGGGCACGGAGACGGCCCCATGGGCTCCCAAGATGGCCAAAGAAAGCCCCAAGAGGGTCCCAACAGAGCTCCAAAGAGGGAAGAAAAACTTATGTCTTAAGCCTTTCCCCCCAAAACGGCCCCGAAAGCCCACCGAGGCCCCCGAGGAGGCCTCTAAGGTGCCCCCAAGAAACCCTAAGGAGGCTTCCAAGAGGCCCCGTAAGCCTCCCAAAAGCACGCGAGAGCCCTCCAACAAGCCTCTGAGAAGCATCCCAGCAAACCCACACATCCATCCGAGAAGCTCCTGACCCACAGCCCAGGTACGGTGGTGGCGGGTTGGGCCTCCTGGGGGTCGGCGGAATGGCGTCGCAAGATACCTTCCACAATCGTCGCACGTTATGCCTCCTTCCGGGGGTCGGCAAAATGGCGCAAGCCAGTTGAAAGAGAAGCGAATGTTTTTTCTGGCCACGGCGAGCCTCGGCCACAAATCAGCTCCCCGACCTAGATCTATGGGGCGGCTCGAAAACCTGAGTCCCTCCAGAACCCCAAATCGCCCTTATTTCAATCACGCCTGCGCCCCCATAGGAGGGGTCGGCAGCTCTGGGGCCGCGGATTGAAAAAATGCGTTGCGCCCGGCAAACGGCCGCTGCGCGTCCGGCGTCGCGCGACCGCGTCCCTGCCGTCGGGAGGGTGAGGCAAAGAGGGTTCCGCCGCCGCCGCCGCCTCAGCCTCTGGCGTTGCCCCGGGATGCCGCTCCGATGCGGCAGGCTCGGGTCGTGACGATCCCGGCGTTGGTTTGTGACGCCGCGTGGATCGCTCAACCCTCATCGCTCGGCGGCGTCGAGATCGCCAGATCGCTCCATGTTGGCTTATCGGCGGCGCTCCACCCTGAACGCCCACGGCGGGAACGCTGCAGCGTCGGCACGACAAGACACTCTCTCGAGGATGAAGGGGAAGAGGAGGGGGCAGGAGGGAGGATAATGATTTTCCACAGGATCATTGGAATTGTTAAAAGCAAATGTGCGCGGCGCTCAGGCGAAAACCACATGTTGAAAGAAACCGCACAACTGTCGCCATCTTCGTGAGCTCCTGGGATGTCAGCGGAGTGGAGGTCCACGCAGATCTGCGGAGACCTCGTGGCGTCCTGCGGGGTTGCGAACCGCGCAACTGTCGCCGTTTTCGTGGGCTCCAGGGAAGTCCAACGGATGGGAGGCCCACGCGGACCCAGCCGAGACCTCGCGGCTCCTTGCGGGGTTGCGAACCGCGAAACTGTGGCTATTTTCGTGGGCTCCTGGGAGGTCCACCAGAGTGCGGTCCTTCACATAACTGCCCCGTGTCAGGAGAGGGTTGGGTACGTCACCCGGTGATTGAAACGAATGTGCGCGGCGCCAAACCGTGAACCGCATTTTGAAATCGACCTCTCCTCAATCCGTGAACCTCTTGCACATTGAAAAACGAATGCGCGCGGCGCTAAAACGAGAATAACATGTTTTGGAAACTGCCCGCCCTCAATCCGTGAAGATCTTTCACATTGTAAAAACGAATGCGCGCGGCGCTAAAGCAAGAGCCACATTTGAACACCTCCAGCCCTTCGTCTTTGAAGCTGTTGCCACTTGTTGAGCTTCAGGATCAAAGAAGGTGAAGAAGTCTCAGGCGAAACGCCCGATCCGCCCTTTCAGGCGGAGGAGCTCGAGTCTTATCTGTCCGAACAAACTCCCCCTCCCCTCACTTCCCTGCCCGCTCCTGGTATTCCACCAGGGAGCCCGTCACCGTGTCCACCTCCGGGGCGCAGGCGGCGGGGGGGCCTCCTCCTCCGAGGGCGGCGGGGGCAAGAAACCAGCACGGGGCCACGAAGCTCCATCCATCAACTTTGTCGAAGAAACTGGACACCACCGTCCGTCTCGTGATCGCCCAACGCTCGCGGATTGGCCGACGTCGCAGCCAGCACAGTTTTCCGTTACGAGCTGGCGGTGTCATGCGCCCCCATCGTCGCGTTGCTCCAAACAGGGACAGATTCAGACGCGTGAGAAGGCGAAGGGGAAGGGGAAGGTGGACTTCAAGAGTCGAACCCCCCCGCACGCGTGGTGATTCCAAGTTAGAGTGCCTTGGGGGCACATTTGTCCCTCACTTGTGGGTCTGAAGCTGGAGGGACCTTTCAAGAGAAATGGCCCTTCCCGCTAGGCGCCACCATAGCTACTGGGGGGGGGGGGGGGCGCCGCGGGTCGTGGGCGCGGGGGCCCTCACGTTCCGTCGCTGCGTTCCCCGCTCGCTGCTGCTCCACCCGCCCTCCCACGACCTGGCGACACTTGACCACGACCCCGACCCCGAGACCCATTTTTCCCTCTACCCTCGCGTTTCGGCGGGGGTGATACTACGGCATATGTGTCTGGATCGATTGACGGTCTGGATGGCGTGCTATGATACCTCGAGCTGCCAGTTCCTGGTAACGCGCACTATTATCGAAAACTCTCACTTGGCGCTCACTCTTACTTGTTTGGGCAACCCGCATTCGTACGGCTCCTTCGGTGCTGGACCCACCTTTATGTGCCCCCTCCAGCATCAATATCTCCTCCGCAAGCTAAGTACAGAGTGCATGTTTGGAGGTTGTTCTCCTCTTGACAGTGCACCTTCACGCGGAAGTGACCGCATGCGCGACCGATCTCCCGCCAGTGCAGTTTCGAGAGTTATTCCCCTCAGAACTGAACGAGGGTTTTCATGCATTTCTGAGTTCGGTGCTGTTCCGCCGCCTCTGAGACGCTATTCGCGCGCCCGTATGGACGGCTGCCGCGAAAATAGTATGCGATATAATGAAGAGGGAGGACAACGGAGATTCGCGCCTAAGAAAAACAGTCAGTCCTAGGGCTGCGACCCAGGGTTGTGCAGGTTAGCCCCAAACCTATCAGGGCTTTGTAAATTAGCCCCAAACTTATCATTGGCAAGTACCACTGACATTTCAAAGGAACTGCTGTGAGAAAGAGGAAGGGGTGTATTGCAAGTCGTTGGTCGTGGTAGTCTGTCTGGCTGTCTGACTGCTGGCGTGGCTGTGCTGCCTTATGAGTGGGGGTCACTCTGCGGTGTTCGTCCACGTGGGAGTACTTGTTGTGGAAGCTGCGGTAGTCTGCCGCGTGCCGAGCAGTGCAAGTCGGTTATCATGTCTAACTTGGGTGGCTCGCCGTGGTGTCTGTCGGCTTGGACATGGGAGCGGCCCTGTGTATCGTTGCCGCGCGATTGGGGTGGTGGCTCCCTGCGTGGTGCTCCACTTGTGTGTTCGTTTGCGCTATTGAAGTAGAAATCGTAGCGAGCATGGCGCGCACGTTGTCTGTCGATGTAGTCTTGGAACGCGGGGTCCCCAGTCTCGTTGGTGAAGATGATGCGTCGGTTGAAGATTTCCATCCGTTGCTATCCGCGTCGGGCTGTTTCTTGATGCGCTGCAATTGCTCGAGCGGCTTGCGCCGGGAAGTGCGCGCGCCGCGTCGTTAGCGTCAACGGTGCTAAGTGCCGCCGCGGGATGGCTTTTAGCCATTGCTGCGTGTTGATGTCCACTTCAGGCGGGTGCATGATCGGTACCGCGAGTGCTGGCGGCGGTGGGCATGGCGGTGGGTATATGTACGATGGCACCCACTTGATCATTGCAGTGAGCGCAGGTGCAGGTGTAATTGCCGTCGCTGTTAGATTGTTGGTTTTCGGTGTGTTCGCCTGTTGCGCATATGGTTGCGCTGGCGGTGGCATGTGCGGATGCTTGCGTGGCGCGGTCGCGATTGCAGTGTTCGTCTGGCGATTGCGTATGTTTGGCGTCGGGTTGCTTGGTCTCGTGCTCTGTTTTGGCTGTGTGCGTGGTGGGCAGTCATGCTTCGTGTTTGTTGGTGGTGTGAACGCTTTAGGTTGCTTTGGCTGCTTTGTAGTCTGATGTTCCACTGCTTTGCCGTGTGGGTTGTCAGCTGTGTTGCTGGGCTGGTCGGCGTGCTGTTAGCAGTCCGCGATGGCGGTGGAACGGGTGCGAGCGGTTTGAGCATGGGCTGCGCCGCTGGTGGTGGTTGTTTGGTTTGTATTTCCTGGGCCCTTTGTGCTGCGCTGGCAATGCTTCCTATGTCGTTGGGGCTGTCGCTGTCGTCGCGCTTGCTGGTGAAATGCGGCCTTGGATCTCGCGGATTGCAGATGCGTTGCAGCGGGTGTGCTGTGTCGCGGAGTCGCGCTGCCCAATTATCTTTGGTGTCGCGCTCGTCGTGGCAGATGCTGATCCATTGATCTACCTCTTGTATGGCTGAGATCTTGGCATTGCCAAGCCGTGTTAGCCCCGTGGTGATCATTGTAGCGATGTGTTCCCATGTCTGGGCGACTTGTACTCTGAATGTTAGACTGCCGCGGTAGTGTGCTGCAAATGCTTCTAAGTCTTTGTCGTGTCGTGGGAAGGTAGGTTGCTTGGGCGATCTGTGCAGCGGTAGCTGTGAGTCCGCGTTGACGGCGCTTTTGTGCTTGATCAGTTGCGGGCAGGTCGTGGCGGGAAATGCGTAGGTAATAAGTGGCGTGGCTTGAGGGTCGGGTCGCAGTCGTGGACGCGGTGGGTACTGCTCGCCGTCGCGGCATGCAAAGATCTCGCTGTTGCATGTGTTGGGGCACCTGTGCCATCCAGGTAATCGTAGGTGGTCGTTGGGGAATCCGAATGTGCATGTGCTTATGTTTTTTGATCGCCCCCCCAATGGGGCGAGACCGATGGGTTGCCAGCTACCTGCGAGCAGCTGCCGCACGTGCAGCAGCTTCTCTCTCCAGGACTCGACCAAGGAGAGACTGCATTCCAGCCGTCTGCACGAGTCGATCCAGCTGCAAAGTGCGCTGGCCTGTCTCGGGCGGTGGCGGGGGACTTATCGCATGCTGCATGTGCCCCACTCCTCGCCTCGACGTCTGCGAGGCGCGCGCACTGGTCTCGCGCGCGTGTGGGTGCAGGCCTGCATAGATGCGCTTGAAGGCATGCGAAGAGCCAGCAAGTCGTTTCCGCTGGCACTCCTTACACAGCAAGAAAACATCGATGCGTGGTATAGGCGCCACGTCGTACAACAATAAAGCACCGTTTCGCGTCCACGACTCCTACTGCGGTCGTCATCGGTTTCTTGGCGAGTGACGATCGCGTGGGCCAAAGCGTGGCCCACGTTGGAACTGAAAACACCCTTCCAGGTCTTACTCGGTCCAAGGCATCCAAGCAAGGGGCGGGTGTCTATATCACTACTTAACGCTGAACACCTGCTGCACCTAGCTCTGCCACCTTCAAACTTCTCCCAACTGTGCCAGCCTCCAGACTTCAGGAATCGGGCCCGAGGTCCAGGGGGAGGGCGCTCGAATTTCTCAAGCGGAAAACACACAACATGTTGGCCAGCACGCGGGCCGCAAACAACAGTTTGTCCAGGGAAAGCGTAAGCACGTCCGATACGGGGGGGGGGGGGGGGGGCGAGGCGCGCAGGGATATGGAATGCTTGGCGAGGACGTCTACGTTCCAATTTCCCACGGCAGCTCGCTTTTCGGCCGCTGGAAGACTATCAATCAGACTACGAGCCCTAATTGCAGGTGTATGACATAGTTCAGCCGCATGATCCCGTTTTTCGTGTAGTAATGAGCCTCTTCTCATACCGGCGTAACGATGACGGCGTTGGGCCTGATGTTGAGGGGGCGACTTACACAGCTTTACAACTGTCATACAATCGCTGTAGCGGGTGCCCGAGCGTTCGACGAAGAACGGGATCAGCGCCATGGTCTGGCGCTCCGCGGACTGCGGAGTCTGGGGCAGGCAGTCTCAGGCCGCGCCTACCGCGCAGGCCAGCATTTCCTCATCAGGTCCTGGAAGAACCCAAGAATAGGAAGCTCGGGAGAGTTCGCAGATCGAGCGCCGTGCACACGATGCGTCCATGCAGAGATCACAACCACTCACATCGATACCTCACGATTCTAACTCTTCTCGTTGGGGGTAAACAATTTCGGGTTGGGGTCGCTGCTTGGGGGGATTACCGTTTCGGGGTGTGCCATTTTTAACTCATTCCAAAAGCTCCTGGAATCGCTGTCGGCTGCTTCCTGCAGCCGCGAAGCGTTGTCTCCTGCTGCGTCAGCACGAGCTTCTACTGCAGCAGGGGCTTGACACTGCCACGCGCGGTGCCTGACCGAGTCGGGCTGTCCGCAGAGTGGACAGAGACCGTCGCGAGCGTGACCTAAGGCTCGTGCTCGAGCGCGCGTCCAGGCGCGTCCGCAAAAACAGGTGATGGCCATCTGCTTATCACGCTGAATCAACTTTTTGGAGCGGGCCCCAAGAGGTTCTGCAGGGGGTCCACGACGACGCGACTTCCAGGGAAGGACGGGGTAAGCGCGGCCAGCTTGCGCTCGTGACCTCGCTCTGTGGCTAACACCAGCAAGTGTCCGACCATGGATGGGGGGGCACCAACCGAGCCTGAAGAGAGACAAGTGCATTCGCTGAATGGGTCAACGAGAACTCCTCCAGCACACATCCCCATTGAAGGGCGCAGCTCCCCACATTTGGCAAACTTCATTGGCGCTGTAGAACGAGGTGACAGGGTCAGTAACCGCTAGCCGCACAATGCGTGAACAATGCAAGGCTGGTGCCATTCCTGCCCTCCAGACAGGGTCTCCAGAAAAAAAGCCATCTTTGCCGTGGGCGAGCAACCTTTATGACAGCATGACACGACGGGCTTCTTTCAACTCATGACCGCTCATGCCGACAACAGCTGACCCGAAAGTGGCGGCAGGCTGCGCGCCTGCAACATATATCTTACCGATGCGGC